GACGATAATTGACGATGTCTCATGATTTTTCTGTCATCAATGATGCCAACTGTACAGTAATCTTTATTAGAGGTTCTGTGAGACAAGCACTTGAGAGCTTAGCAGTTAAAACAACACATCGCCTTAAAACATCATCTGGGAGGGTAAATGAGTGCTCACACAGGGGAAGTGAGTTTGACGGATGATGTGTTGGTTTGAAAGCCCACGAGATGCTATTGATAAAGTCACACCTTATGCAGGCTGCACTGAAGCTGATCCGATCATTTGAGTACATGTCATTAAAGTATGTCTGTACCTTCTGTAGTCTGGACATGGCTAATCATAAATTAATAAACATATTTCAGTAAAAACGTTCCCTCACCCACAGATACTGAGGGGTCAGGGTCTAAAACAACTCTCACACATACTTGTGTCCTGATGTCACACAAACCTGGGACAGGCCAGCCGTGTGAAGCTCTTTATATGTATGTGCATGTGTGTGATGACGATCGGAGACAGTGTCAGTAAGTGTGTGATCACTGTGACAAATTTCCCACCAATGTGTGACAGGCCCTTCACCGGCCCACATCTCCCCCTTTACCCTCCCATACATGTACATAGGCTTAACGGCGTCGGGGCGGGCCGATCCCACCGGCTCACTGTCGGCACGGCAACGAGCACTATCCTGGCTAACATCTGCCGCACGACCTGGGGCCACTCAGAATGGGCCTTAATCCCCACACAGCCATGTTGTGGGGGAAAACATTCTTTCCTTTTGGTGAGTGCAGACAAACAGGGACAAGCAGTGTTGCTGGTAACTTGCAGGCAACCGGCCTCTTGGAAGGACTGGGAATGTTGTTGGTTACGTGGCCCCCAATTGTGCCATGGCCCATTATGGCTGTGCAGAGGGGTGTGACCGCCAGCATCGGCAGCGAGTTGCCGTCACTGGTCCAGTTGGATGGATTTGGGTTTTGAGGTTAATGAAAGGTGGTGCGAGTGGGCTAGGTGGGGTGGGTCAGAGGGGGTTGTCAGCCAGCCTTGTTATGCTAAAACAACACTTGCATTGGTAAAAACGTGAAACCGCCTTCCACCCTCTCCCGATGTGAGTTTGCTGCCACATCAACTGGCTGTCGATCCAGGACACTGTTGCCGCTGCATTTTTGGTCATCCTTCAGTGAGTTTTTAAAAAGTGTGTTTGTTGCTGTCAACAGCAGAGGGAATGGAGAGTGAGCTTTCAGTTAGGACAGAGGCACAACATCAACATGTGGCAGTTTGGTGCCCCCTTGTGGCCACTATCGAGCAAACAGGTGCTGCAGGAGCACACAAACACAGAAAAACCCTCTTACACATAAAGACACTCAGATACTCACACCAAGAATCATTCAAAGTCACAACACGACAAGCGAACAACTCCTCTCTTCTCTGAAACAAGCCGAGCCATGATCCTTCATATTACTGTTTCTGATAAAGATCTTCTCTGGCGGTGACGTACAGAGGAAATGAAGACACAGCCCCATCAATCAGTCCATCAACTGCTATGAAATATGTATTTGTCTTAATATGGAGTTTGATTCCATCAAAGCCATTTCACGGACCATTTCCCTATGCAAACACCTCAGGAGGAAAGAGGGAGGGAGAGAGAGAGTGGCAGAGTGTGGCTGAGGCACGCTCAGAGGAGGAAACACACCTCCGAGGGTGGCTCAGTGTGTGTATAGTATGAGATTTAATTGAATAGTTCTGCATCAGTGCTGAGAAGTTAGTTGGTGTGTTTGCAGAGGTCTCTGTTCTCTCTGACTGAGGGCTTGGTTGTCTTTTTTCCCCCACAGCAAGCCAATACTTGGCTAGAAACAAAGTCCTCCTCAGGTTTCAATCACAGACAATCAGTGACAGAGGAAGTCAGGGAGGTAGTAGGTACATCAAGGCAGATTGGAAACATTCATACGCCTCTGGGCCTTGTCCTAAAAGTGCCAAAGCTGCACAATAACAACAGCTCAAATGGATCTGCAGGCTATTTCTGGAAGCAACTGATTCATGATATCTCAGCTCAGCAAAGGGTTATTTTGAAGATGTGCTCTGCTTTGTGTAAAACAAAAATGGGGCCTGGAAAAATATCTTTGAATAGAGAACAAGAATTATTAAAAGGTATGTCATATATGCTGAGTGATTAGATGCAGCTTTGGTGACACGGGAATTGATCTGGCCCACATAATTTGACTTTCTGGGTAAGAATGTGGTTTACACATACACTGGGTCTGTTATGGATACAAATTTTGTTTTCACATGACATGTCAGTTTTAGATAGATTACGTTTTTTGAGCACAATGAGCATTAGCACACAAATTCTCAGGAAAAAGCTGTGTTAGCAATGAGCTCAAAGAGAGATAAACTTCTTCAAAGACAAATATTTTTTTGCAGTTGAAGCTACAATAGGTCTAATGCTTTCAGAAACATTTTTAGGTGTGATGTTTAGCTGTAAATGGAAAGTTTGCTGCGGCTGGTGGGCAGTGCTTTGTTTTGGCTCGACTTATTTCAACATAGTGGTCAGGTCACAAACTCATTTTACAGCGCAGCAGCGCACTTAAAAATGTTTCTGAAAACATGTGAAGCAAGAAATAGGCAATGCAGTAACAGAATCTTGATTCATATTTGATCGCCGCTGCCTAGTTTAAAGTTTGACTGCCATTTACAAGCAGTTTTGACATTCCTGACAGCTGCTCTCTCTGAAAATGACCTGATGAAAATGGACAAAATCTCCTGTCACAGGCTACATTTTCATAAGCCTGAAAACAGAGCCAGATGGACATGCACAAAGCTAGTGTTCACTCAGACCACTTGCATTAAAACATGCTCAAAGTGTAATTTGGAATTATTGGACAATGACGCCAAAATTAAAGCTTTAACTATTTCCCCAGCTGGACTGTTGTCATGTTAAGCATCTTAGACATACCTTCAAAAGGGAGACACAAAAGGTTATGTGCCATTTGATTTTTAATGGGATGAATATGATCCACTGTTACACTATTTTTCATAGATACTGTCTTCAGTCTCTTCAATCTATCCTTATCTGTTTTCTTCTTCCTGTAGTAGAGCACTTAGTAAGTTCTGTTTTTAAAGTGCAATAAATCATACTTCACTTGCTTGCTTAGATTGTTATACCACCCATATCCAAGGAAAGGGTGCTTTGGGTTTTAAAAATACAATTTGTCATTGTCAAGTAGTGAGTTTAGCCCTGCAAAAAGCTTACAAGCCCACCCTTTTATGTACACTACCATTAACATTTTTAAACAAAGCAAAAGGATGTCCACATCACTCAGTTTCACATAGTTACAAAATTACAGCGTGACAATTTGAACTGACAACACTCCAGCCACCAGGCCAGTTCTTAAAGGCAAGACTACTGCTGCAGCAACAAGTGTTTCTGGAGAGTCTTCACTGCAAATCCATCAACACCACTTTCAAAGTGCTGTGTTAAGTGACAGCTAAGAGGGACTGTGGTTAACTGCAGTTGTATACTGACACCTAGTGTATTAATATGGTTACTGCAAATAATAGTAAATGACAGGACAGGGCCACGTAGGCTCATTTTTAAACACAGCTACTATCTGCATTACAGTGTCGGGAATAAAAATCATCTGCTCCATCTGATCTAAAGCTTCATCAACTGATCTAAGACAGGAACATGACACGACTAAGACACAGATATACCACAAAGTACTGAGGGTGATGACACTGGGATAGAGAAGTTGAATATGATGGGAGATAGCAGTGACGATGATGTTTGTGTGTTGTTTATGTATTTATGTGGTTGCGCTCGTGTGAATGCAACCTGCTATCTCACCGTGTCTGCCTGTACACTCTGGAAGCTATTTGGTCTAGCAAGGCAGATAAGAGGGCGATACTGAGGCCAGTGGGTGTGCTGGCTATCTGCCTCCCAGCTGCCCACGTAACAGGGTCACTCAGGTGCACTCTGCAGGGACAAGTGGAGGAGCAGAATAAGAGGAGATAAAGTAGAAGAGGTCAGAAAGGGTGGAGGTGAGGGAGGTGAAATGACAAGGGAACAAAAGAGGAGGAGGCGATGAAGTGGACAAAGGACAGAGAGAGGGGTCAGCAGAGGAGACAGACACTGTACAGAGAGAGAGACGTGCTGCTCTTCATGCTGTCATGAACTTATCAAGATTTTCACAGCTCAGAGCGCGACAGTTTACTCTGTATGTGTGCACATGTATGTGAGGAAAATGCAGGCATTGCTAAGCTTAGTGTGTAAGTGTATGCATGTGTGAACTTTGCCCACTCTCCTCGCTTCTATGGGGCTCCAGGTTTTGCCTGGTGGGTGGGACAAAACACCCACAATGCCGATTGTTTTCACAGCATACACATAGAGGATCAGGCCGGCATGGCAAACTGGCACCAGATATTATCGTGTGTGCCGCTGCTGTTTTTGGTTTCATTCTGATTTCCTTTTTTTACAAAAGACAAAGTATGCCTAATCCCCTCATGACAACCTGACTGTGGAGACTGCCAGAGAGGAAAATAAACACTGGAGTCTAACTTGTCAAATAACAGTTACAGCAACAACAGACTCTTTCAAATGTGCGCTTATGTAAAGTCAGAACTGTCAGAAGTCGCTTTAACAAAAATACTTTATGGGATTTAAGGTGATTTCAATGGATATGCACATTCATGGCTGCACCTGATTCAAAGCACACTGAAAGGCGAATGAATATTTCAAAGACAAACAATATTTTTTTAGACAGAGCAAGCCTTGACATAAATCAACAGATCCAATCCAAGATATGAAGCTCATTATGGGCTCTCAAAGGAATGGAAAGGGCCACAATTCCTGTAGCTAAAACCAGATAAACCAATACAACAATATGTCTAACATTTGGGGTACAACTATTGCCACTTTCATAAAATATTTATACACGATAAGTTTTTGAGAGAGAATCACAATATGCAGAGTCACCCATTGTTCATTTCCCTCAGCTGTATTTGAATACTTTTAGACATTTGTGACACAGAGATGTAATACAGACCAGGTAAACACAAATGTATGCATACTAGAGTAATACTAAATATCACTATATGATAACCTAATTACATTTCAGAATAGGTGTGTTAAAACATTGCCAGGCTGGAATAGATGAAGCAGGGCCTCCATCAACAGAGAGATGGAGAGAAATAAAAATGTGTGCACTTAAGCATGTACAGTATAAATTTAAAATGAGCAGTAGGAGTCGGAACACTGTGCGATCCGTATAATTTAGACAGATAATTTGCTTTAGTGTTAGTGTGCATTGAAGCCAGCTTCGCAACTATTGAAAAAAACAAAGGCGGGGCTGTTTGTAAGTTGTGCATAACAACCACAAGCACAAATACCATAATCATGACATACAGTAAGTGCAAATAACTAATGTTCGCAGTCAGTCATGAGTCTTGCAGCTACAAGGAGAAGTACTGAGAGTGAACAATACTGGTCCTGCACATCATAAAATAGAATAAAATCTGATGCAATTAAATGGCTTCAACAAAAGATAAACCCCACGGCTGCAGTGTTTGTTTAATCTTCCCTCACTCACAGATGTTACTCTTCCTGATGTGTGACAAACTTTTACTCCTCTGGACCTTTAGAGGGGTTCCCACATTTAGTTTAAGATTTGATTGCAGTGTTTAAATCTAAAACGTTTTTCAATTTCAATCAATCAATTTTATTTATAAAGCCCAATATCACAAATCACAATTTGCCTCACAGGGCTTTACAGCATACAACATCCCTCTGTCCTTTGGACCCTCACAGCGGATAAGGAAAAACTCTTTAAATTTGAGTCTGACAATAGCTTTTCTAGCACAGTGTTGTATGTGATCATACAGCACTATGTCGGCCAACAGACAGCTGTGAGCACCTGTTCGTCCCACACTGACACCCATGATAGACATGCCACACAGTAGGGTGAAAATGTAACTGGAGCGGAGAGGAACACCGCCAGGCTGTGGCAGCTGCTTCAAACATCTCTGAATCAGGCGTTCACACACAGCCTTTTGAAAAGGGAAGGGGCTGTGTCAGCCCCTGTCACTGACAGGTGGAGACCCAAAAATTAGGGCCAGTTTGGGGCTTTGGATGGAGAATTGGTGGTGGCTCGGGTTAATTATTTTCCATTAGTGTGAGAGAGGGAACAGCAGGACCTTTGACAAAAAGGAAAATATTATGACATTATATCATGTTATCTTTTACAGAGCAGAGACCGAGAGGGATGCAGAGGGTACTGTATATAATTAATTTGTATTCTTGATATTGTCTTGATTGACATAGGAAATTCCTCTTTTATAACCTTCCCTGCGAAAGGCAAGATGATTTACTTACTGATCAAGGGTGCCCTATAGTCCTGACACTCATGCCTCCTGATAACTGAACAAGTTCATGAACTCATAGACTCCATCTATCCAGTCTTTCCAGTAAACACAGTAAATGTATGCCTTTGTTTCCATGTCTGTTATCCCATTGGTTAAAGTAATATCTGTCTGTATTTTATTATCAAAAATTGATGAAATTAAGGATTTTAACTCTCAAACTACTGTTTTATTTGGACTTCAATGTGACAATACAATAACGTTTTAGGTAGAATTATTGCTTCTTATTAAACTATAGGTAATTTGTCTGAGATTTTTAAAAAAAAAAATCCTAGTAAAGAGGGAGATGACTACAGGGATAAACACATTCAAGGCCAGGGCATGGTCTTAACAAAATAGTCTGTACAAGTGAAGTTTTGAAGACAGGGTGAAAAGCCTGTCATCATAGAAGGGGGGAGACGTGATAATCATTCAATTGGGGATAAAGGCACTAAGTTTACATCAATCTTCCCTATAAAACATTTATATTGGGTTTTGGAAAGTTACAGAAATTATTAAACACAGCCCCCCACAATTCCAACCACATAAAAAGGTATGAAGGGAGAAGGTCTAAGACACTGTCTGACCATCCGACAAGCACTTTGGTTGAAGCGTACAGACTCCTTATATCTTAATTTCACTCAACCACAAAAGTTGAACAAAAAACTAACCGGTTGCGCAGTTTACCCAAAATCTCATGGTGATATTTTAATGTTATATCACTTAAAACGTCCAACAACTCCAAGTGGACATTTGTCATTCTGACTACACAGCCTTGCGGTCCACAAATAGCCTCAAATCATGTCCCTACACAGCCAAGTCAACATAATGCTTGTGCCACAACCCCTAATGGTTAAGAAGAATCTGTTCCAACCATAATATCATTTGGCACAGTGTCCTAACCTTCTAGACAGCCAGCCAAGCAGCCCACAGTGAGACCACAGCCTAATGGCAGCCAGGTGTAATACCATCTCCTCCTCTGCCTTTTGTTTAAGTCATGTAATGAGCCTGTAATGAGGCCATGAAATATTGATAACCAGGCTTACCTAACACTGGGTCTCTACAGGGGTCCTCTCAACTCAAGACAGGATCAGTAGAAAGAAACACTTTACAGCTCTCCTGCTGAAGAGCCAAAGAGGAGGAGACTACTTTGAAAACAGCAAATCAAGATGTGCAAAACAGATTTTGTTATGCATACATTGAATTACATGTGCAGGGGACATTTCAGTGATGGAGCAATAGACATTGTTGTGCTTCTGGGAAACTGAGGAGTCAATGCCTCTGGTTAGGATTTCTTATTCTTTTAAAACGTTGAGAGCAAAGGATAAAAAGTTTAAGCAATACGCATTTACGATAAATTAGGTCTGACATCTTATGTTTGACTGCTTGGCACCACCATGATATCAAACATTTTCACACGGGTTACTATCATCAACTTACCTTGATTAGGTCAGTGATGAAAACTGCAAAATAACATTATCTTCTTGCTTTCCCCTTGGCTGCTCAGCTCCTGGTGTTTTTTAACATTAAGTTAACTAACTTTACGGTAACTTTACACACGCCTTTCACTACAAACATTTCTAGTTAGCCATTTTCCTTTGATTAATGACGACACGTGAACACCGGACGCTGTTCGCCTCAGGTGTCTAGTTAGCATTAGCCAAACTTAACAACCTGCTTTGCACTTAACACGTCTACATTTTACTTGTTTCATTTCATATGGATAACCTATATTAGCACCGTTAGTCGCTGTTCGGTCCATTTAATTACACACCGTTGCCTTCTGTCTGTCCTCCTAACGAGTGGCTAAAGTAGCAAACAAACTGTAAGTTACTCTCGATGCTAGCTGGCTAATTGCTGGTCGCTAAGCAACAACAAGCGGTACTTTCAAAGCTATGCTAACCAGCTAGCTTGTTAGCGTTCCTGTAGCAGTTTGTAATGCTAAGCAGTTAGCTCATTAAATAGCGACAGCCGGCTCAAACAGCCACGATAATAGTACTTTTAACGACAGCGACGTTTTCGTTAACTATCGACGGTTTAACTTGTTGAGAGTGAAGCTCGTCTTTGATAAAGAACTACATTAACTATCAAAAACTACAGTGACCCGGATCTTCAATGTGCCGTCAGACGGTTACAAGTGTCGTAAAGAAGTGAGGACTTAAAAAGGAGTGACCTACGGGTTGAGCGAGAAGTGGGAGCATAAGCAGTCCGAGCTACCGTGTGAACATGGTGAGTAAAGACAGTGACTATATCATTTATTGTACCTTTAATAATGCACTTTTAACGCTGATAGAAACAGCAGTTAGTCCGCTTGAACCAACGGGATATTCACAAAGTTGTACAAAGTTCGTCAACATTGATTTTAACGATACTTGTAGCCTGGCTCGCGGCATGACATAGCTAGTCTTTAAAATTCAGTCAGTCCTTGTGTCATATTCGTGCAAAGCTTTGGTAGTGTGCCACATAACCAGTTTGGTAAGTTGTAATGAATGAATGTTTGCGAGTGAATGAAAGATGGCGATGAACTTGATAACCGAAGTATATCCTGGTTTTGTTATGTAACAGTGGCTCCTGAATGGAGAGCACAGGGTCTATTTTTAAAGTAACCCCCCCGCTTTAGTAAATCCTGTTGACAAGAATAGACACCCAGGCACCCACGTGCACTGGACAATTCAACTGTCACTCTTACACCTGTCCTTTTAGTGAAATCAATGCTAATAGTACTAACAGCACTGTTCTTTGCCTTGTGTCTTGCAGTCTGAGCCCATTAGAGTCCTGGTGACCGGCGCTGCTGGGCAGATAGCCTATTCTCTGTTGTTCAGCATTGCCAAGGGAGATGTCTTTGGCAAAGATCAGGTAAAGAAGGGCTTTGTCTTGCTGACGAAACACACACACAATTGCCTTATCTCATTAAGCTGTGTAAGGGCATGTGTCACAAGACATACACAGGACACTGACGCCCCCCAGAAAACAGCTGTGCATATCACAAGTTTTCCAGATCATATCTGGGGGTGACACTGAACAGATGTTGCTTCTGTGGGTAGTGATCAGATTGCACTTGCTCGTCCGTGAGCCCTGGGACGAGCCAGGATTGTCCTTGAAGTCCGTGAAATGGATCTCCTACCAAGGCTCTTAGGCCAACTTTAAAACCACTTGATCCATTTGGCACACACCCTTGTTAGTGAGCCACACGGCTTACTGTAGGTCTTCACTCTCTGTTCCAGAGACGACTAAGTCCCCCGCTGACATGTAATTATACGTGGGAATTCTGATTTTAAAGTGCATGTAAATTCAGTTCAGCATGGTTTTTTTTAATTCATTTCATACCATTCACCCTCCTCCTTCTTCTGTCAGCCAGTCGTCTTGCTCCTTTTGGACATTACACCTATGTTGCCAGTCCTGGATGGTGTTGTCATGGAGCTGCAGGACTGCGCCCTCCCACTTCTGAGAGGTAAACTTTTAAGGGTGGGACACTGTAAAATAAGGCGACGTAATGTCTTGCATCTTTCCTACACTGGCATGAGATATCACAGTTTTCCTTACACTCTTAGACTGGATTTCACTTTATAATATGCTGTTTTTGAAGCAACTATTTTGAGTTGTTATTATTATATTAGAATGTATATTATATTGCCATTTTAGGGTTTTGATTTCCTGTTCATTTACTCAAATAAAACAGTACTCTAGATCTTGCTTTTGATCATTTCATTTTACACCCCGCATTTCATGTCAATAATGATGCCACACCTTTGCTATGGCTAACAGTATGAGTTATCCTATGATTTCCACCCACAATAACCGTAGCTCTGGCCAAGACTGTGTCATCATCATGCCAGTGTGTTTCATAAAGATTTAAGGCCTCTGCATAGTTTTCAGCTTTCCGCAGCCTCTTAATGTCATTGGGGCAGTAGTAGTTACAAGGAGATGTTGGGGTAAAGATGTGGAGATAAATAAATGTGCACTGTAACGTTCTGATCATTGCACCAAGCAAAGATTCACTTTGAAGGAGCCAGTGCTTTATTTATTAAGCATCTAAAATGGTGCTTTTCTACCTTTCACTGTTTTATCAGTACCTGTACTTTATGTCCACTCATGATCTCCAGGCGAAGCCACAGCATCAAGGATTATACATGCATAACATGTACTTTAATTTTAATATTTGTAGCTGATAACGGCAAGCTAACTTGGCCAGGTCTCCCTCGAGAAATAGAATTTAAATTTCAAGAGCTTTAGTGGTTAAATAAATAAATGAAATAAGATTGATTTAAATGACTGAATATGAACAGTATTAGATGGAAACACAATCACAGTTGCTGCATTCCAATCAATATATGTTGCAGCAGTTTTCAACACATTACTTATTATATATTTACACCTCTTATAATATCATTTACCACCTGCAATGACAGCAGTGAGGCTCTCCTAAATATCTGAGAGGACGAATACCTTTTCCTTGGTTTGGAAATTTGACTAAATGCTTTTTCTCTGAAGACCAGACATGTGTAACTGTATGAATGTGAAGACAGTTGAGAGTTATTTCCTACTCTGAGACACTTGATAAATATGGGTGCTGGATTCCAGGAGGACTTTTGGTGTCATCACTGTGACTGCCGTCATGACATCAGACGTGAGGTCCATTATGTGCCACCTCCATTGTGACCTGGAATTTTTACTTTGAATTGGTGCTGTCCTTTGCTTTGTTTGGACAGGGGCTGTGAGAGGCCCCTGTATTAACCAACTGTGTTGCAAAGACAACGCTTCAGGCACTGAGATGGGTGTCCAGCCATATAGTGCAATACTGCTCTCACATGGGACGCTTCCCAAAATACATTTATAAAACATGTATGCATGTATGACATGTATGAAAGGATGAAAAACTTCACACTATTAAAGATGAAAATTGTCCTGGTGATGAATTGTCTGATACACCAGTTGGACAGGCTAAAGTTGAGCTGCGTACTGTGTACACATCAGGAATTTCCACTGAGAACCTGTTTATGTATTACAGTTGAGACCTGGCAAAGAGACAGCAGTAATATGAGCTCATTACAAATATGCATTGCCTACTTGGTTGAAGTCAAGTGGGAATCTGCCCACAAATGTGTTATATTTGTGATTTTATTCTCAACTGAAAAAGAAACAGACCGAAGAACAGAAATATTGTCAGTTTAGGTTAAGTTTGTAAAATAACTGATTCACAGATAAAACTTTGAGACCTTGTGGCAAGGATTAAAGGATTAAATGAAGACCTATGAATCTGTTGAGTTGTGGCAAAGCATTTTTTTTAGATGCAAAATGTCATGGAACCCTGTTACATACGTAAACATTTAATCATCACCTGATTTCATTTTCTCTTTCTATAGAGATTGTCCCCACTGACAAGGAGGATGTGGCCTTCAAGGACCTGGACGCAGCCATCCTGGTGGGCTCAATGCCCAGGAAGGAGGGCATGGAGAGGAAGGACCTGCTCAAAGCCAACGTGGCCATCTTCAGGAGCCAGGGAGCCGCCCTGGAGAAGTTTGCCAAGAAGACTGTCAAGGTACAGACACAGGACTTTGTGTATAGACGTGCACGGACATGCAAATTTATTGACGTCCACTCCCCTCCCTTTCTACTTGGCAGGTTATATTGCTTGTGTTACAGTGTTGGGTGTAGAAATGTTTCCTATAGTTACACATTTGCTGCACCTGTCCTGGGTTGATTCCCATTTTTCACAGCCCTCATTTGGCAACATGCATGGCAACACACTACCAAAAATATGTTTATTTTCTAATGCTTAACCATTTTTTGTCTTTTTTTAATTAAAAATATACTCTTCAGGATTTTCCTAAAAACAACTTATAGACACATACAGAAGTAATCCCTCATGATCAGCACTTATCTGTCACACACAGTTAGCTGTGTGTGGTGGTGTATTTTTTTCTACAGAGACTCTGCCCTCTGCCTGTATTTTCTTATTATCTGCGATCAGGAGGTTTATGGGCGTGTACCAAAAGGTAGCAGCCAGGTACCAGATCGAAAGCAGCAGGCATCCAAGAGACGCAGTGCAGAAAAAATGCAAATATAGCGAGGCAAAATGCCAAACTAGAGTGTATCTGCTGTGGCTTTTGCTGACAAGCATGTTAACAAACAGTAACTGACAGTTCTGTGTAGTGTACCTTTAAGCATATTTTCGCTTGTAAAGTGGCTCTGCTCTGGTAAGAATAAGATGTAAAACTTACTTTTAAAACAAGGAAATCAAACCCAAAGAAGTACTTGGGACTATTAGTGAGCTGTTATTAATGTGTTACATTTATGAGCCTACATCGCGTTAGATCAGATGAGTCACTCAGGTTGTGTTTTAAAGTGTGTGCGTGTGTTTTTTAGGTGCTGGTTGTTGGAAACCCTGCCAACACCAACTGTCTGATTGCAGCCAAGTCCGCTCCCTCCATCCCCAAAGAGAACTTCTCCTGTCTCACCCGTCTGGACCACAACAGGGCTCGCTCTCAGGTACGTTCCTTTAGACTCACCGACTTTTCGCTGTCTCATAGTTATTGTGAGCGTGAAACCTGAATTTGCTCTTTGGTACTGTAGGTGGCGATGCGCTGTGGCGTTCCTGCCAGCCATGTGAAGAATGTGATCATCTGGGGCAACCACTCGTCCACCCAGTACCCAGACGTGCACCACTGCTTGGTCAACATGTCTGGCAGTGAGCTTGCCTGCTTTGATGCAGTCAAGGATGACGGCTGGCTCAAAGGAGAATTCATCACTGTGAGTTAAAGAAGATTCACTGTAATCTATTAGACTGCGAGATACATTTTGACTTTGGTTTCTGTGTCTGCCTCTGACAACTGCACAGTATGTGGAGAACGATATGATAATTGCACATACTCTAAAATATATTTCTGATCTTACAGAAGATTCTTTGATGGATTCTCTAATGTTAAATGATGAAATGTAGGAGGTCTGTTTCACAAGAGGCATACTTCCCAGCCTGTTCAGCAAATGTGCATGACTCAACCATTTGTCACACAAAGAATCTCAAATCAAATGTTAATCGATGTGTTTCAGAAACACAGACTGACGTTTACATTTTTTGTGTTCCAGAGATCACAGCTACAGACATTTCAGCCTTTATCTCAACTGAACCTAGCCGCACAGCTCAATAACACAAGCTAACCCTATGAGCTCAGTTCTTCTGCTCGTTGAATGCCACTTTTCATGTAATGCTCCATGTTCTTGCATTGCAGACAGTGCAGCAGAGAGGTGCTGCAGTCATCAAGGCCAGGAAGCTGTCTAGCGCCATGTCTGCAGCCAAGGCCATCTGTGACCACATGAGAGACATCTGGTCAGGCACCCCCGAGGTAAACACCATATTTATCTGTACTGAAGGTGTGATGTGGGAATGTCTGCCTGTGTTCTGTCAAGAAGTAGCTATTACTATATGAACAAGAGTGTGTATATATACATATCTGTTTGTGCTCACACAAGGCGTTTCGTCATTAATCTACTCACTTTATGGAGTGGGATACAGTACATTTTTCTATTTTCTTTATTTTGTGAAGTTGTGTTGTAAGTATTGTGTTACTGAATATCCATTTTTACCATCAGTAATTATAAAATACCACATCTGGAATAAGCAACATTGTTTTTGAAATGCAGTTTTAACCAGTTTCTCCTTTTTGTTTTTTTTTTCTTTTTTGTCAGGGTGAGTTCATTTCCATGGGTGTTTACTCCAAAGACAACTCCTATGGAGTCCCAGATGACCTCATCTACTCATTCCCTGTCCAGATCAAGGTTAGACTCATCTGACCCACTAGCAGCCTACAGTATTTTTTAATTCAGCTAATAGCTAACAATTATCTACATTGTGTCAGTCCTCAAAATGATGAACAGTTAACATAGGCTATGGGAGCATAAATACAGAACTTCTGAAAGTATGTTGTTTCCTCAGGACAAGACCTGGAAGATTGTGGAGGGCCTGTCTATCAATGATTTTTCCAGAAAGAAGATGGATGCCACAGCAGCAGAGCTGATGGAGGAGAGAGACACAGCCGTGACTTTCCTGGGAGTATGACTAGACCCTGCTGGGTCACCCAACATGCACTTAGACAGCTCCACAACTCCAGACGCACGCCTGTAATAAAGCACTCCACCAATCCCTGCATTACTCTGTGTGTGTGTGAGAGAGAGTGAGTCAGTGTTTATGAGTGTAAAGTTGGACTTATACTTGTGTGTTGAGAGGCTACGCTGAGGTGCACCTTTTTAAAAAATGTATAACAGCTGCAAAGATATCAAATGGAGACAGTGACTAGCTTGTGTCGGTTGCTTGTGGTTTCGTTTACAAGTTTTAGACGCTGAAGCAGATATGTTTACTTAAGCTATAAATAATTGCACAGCATTACTCTCCTTTTCAGTAGCAACAGAAACACCCACAGCAGAGGCGTTCTGCACTGTCACGCACAAGTATATCTTCACCTTCATTATACAGTTTATATCAAAAGTCCATCAAATTTGTTACAAACTATTTTCCAATATTTTTTCTCTGGAGATCAGTGAAACATGGATGGTTGTTACATATAGTCAGTAATGCACTAAGTCCTCAAACACTGGAACGAATAACCTGTAAGCTAAATAATAAAAAATCAAACTGTATAATTGTGTTTTTTGGTGTTTTTTATTTGTTATAGGCACAATGTAGTTGTGTCGTGACACATCTAGATTTGTGCAGCGTAGAGGCTGAGTGGTGAGGACTTTGACCACAGCAAGAAGGAACAGAGGAAGAGTATATACTTTGTCTCTGCACAGCAGTTACACATAATCATGGAATATACAAGACTGACAACCTCACAAACTTGCACAAGATGAGTAGAAATGAAGGATGATGGAAGGACAAACATCTTCAGTTCCAGGTTTTCTTGATGTTTGGATCGGGAGGTACGCAGGATGAAAGGGGTGGGGTTGTAAAATGATCACCAGTAGACACAGTTTGTCCTATGGGAAGAGAAAATAATGTGAAAAGTTGAGTTTTAGTCGATGCTCATGCTAAGTTATGATAAGAAATGCACTGAATCAGAAATACGTGTATGCATACAAGTAATTTGACAATGTTTTTTGCATTGCTCTCAATGCCTCATGGTGAGTGTCTTTGACAATGTAGGCTCATGTAGGCAGTGTAGGTCATTTTGGATGTTTGGTGCAGATGATCAGTATATTTTTGAATGATGGCATGAAGCCACATGAGCTGAGTGGTGACTCATTCCCATTCTTAGTGTTTCTCATGATATAAAGTGCACCACTTAATGTCCCTCTCCCCACAGCCTGTCAAATGACTGCATCCCCCTGGATTCAGAAACCGTTTAAGGGTCAATGAGTAAAACATTGGACACCAGGGGCCGTATTCACAGAGACTTTGAGAACACTCTCAGAGAGCTCCTAACTTAGCCTAATAATTTTTAGTAAGGAGTCCTAGCTCAGGAGTGATATAGTAAAGTTCTCAGAGCAACTCTGAGCAAGGAAGAGACAGTAACTTTACTGTATTGAGGAGGTGTGGTGCATTCTTTTAACAGATGTGATTGCTTGACACAGACACACCCTTTTATGAGCCTGCAAGGTGTGGACACCCAGTGGAAATAAAATAAACTGATGACTGTGAACGTGTTGTTATTGTTAGTGTGATCACTCCGCTGATGGAGGATTGAGACAGTCACTGCTGTACTGTTACAGTTTTCCAGTTTTTCAAATATCTTACGACTGTGATAATTTTACTTCTGACATTATTGCCTTATTGAGTTATATGGGAAATGTGTGTGTATCCCTAATGAGATCAACCACAAACATTATTGGTGCATGATCTAATCTAGTATTTCATTAACTCACTGTCATTCAGCGTTTGGAGAATATTTCTCCAACCTCTTTGTGTTTCCACTATTTTCTCCTCTGCTTAAACTCTTACTCTTAAAAGTCCTCCTCCCTGCTCCTTACAGTTCTTCACCTTAGGAGTTCTTTTAAGGTCAAAGATGCTCAGTGAATAACTTTTATCTTTACAAGGACCTTGAAGAGGAATTTCTAAGCAAACGTTACAATTCTTTTGTCACTAGGAGCAACTCTTTACTTTGTGCTTTGTGAATATGACCCCAGAGGCTGAAGTACATTGTAATGTCACACTTTCACCAGGCAGGGGCAGTGTTTCTTAGTTTTTCCCTCACCCAGCAGCATGAGGACTGATTATGTAACATATAATAAGTCAAACTCACAATGTGTCATTGTTGAGTCAAAAGTTAAATAATTAAAAGGGTCAAAACCATAGATATATGTATATCTATGGTCAAAACTACCAAAAACATCCATTATTCCAGCATTAATGTGTAAATCAGTGTGTCAGAGTGTTGAATGTGATACTTCTCATAATATATGCATGTACTTCAAAGCATTAACTTGTACTACACTGACATAAACGTCTAAGTATATGGCCTTTTGAGGGAGTATTTTCTATTTCCTACATTACTAGCATTCTTCACCGCACGTCGCAGAAACCTATTGGCTGTCAGATTTACGTCACGGGCAAGCAGTGTTCTGATTGGTTGCTATCTTCCTGCAACGCTCCCATTCGCCCCTTCCTGAAATGGCACTGTTGTGTAAAATATCTTCAAACTAATCACCTTTTTTAAGTTTTTTGTTTACGCTTTTTCAGCGATGTCGAAAGGAAACAGGAGTCCGGTGTTTTAAAGCGGAAACCTATTTTTAAAAACTAAAACATATATTTGTGTGCCCTGCTGTCTCCTCTGCGGGATTTGCTGTGGTCCTTCAGACCCGCAGGACCAGGCCGACCCCATCGACTTTTCTTCCGCCAGCATCCTACAGTCACACAGTAAGAAAATGGCTTTAAATTTAAGAAAATGTTCACCACTTTGCCTCTTGACGTTATCAAGGTTTCCCCAAAGCGAGGGGTGTATCACCAAGTTAGCTATTAGCCCAACGGTTTTTCTGTTTTACTGGAGAACGGCCGTTTTTCTTCCGTGTTGTGTTCACGGTACACTTGAGTTGCTTTTACGTGCACTCCATACTTTATGTACGTTCTTCGGTGCACACTGAGGGAGCGTTCATTTTAATTGTTCCTTGAGTACATACCGTCCTCCTCCGTCCACCCATCCATCATTCATTCATTTCCGCAGCCTCTGAAGTTCCCTGCTAGGCAGGCAGGTCATGCGGATGGACTCACCAGTGTGTGCATCTCACTGGTTAATAATTGACGGGATGTTTGTTGGCAGTGTACTAAAAAGAAGAGGTTGAAAACCGCCGACTCTGTGGCAATAAGGTAATAAAAATGGAAAGGGGGGCGAGGCGAAAGGAAAAAGCAGAGGTTGGGAATCACAGACATGAACTGTGACGTGGTGGGCAGTGTTGGGGCTGGGAAATTAGGAGGCAGGCGAAGCAAGCATTAAAACACCCTGCTAGATCCAATCCAGCTCCATGTTGAGTTCAGGGACGACATTTGGCTGCTGTCCAGAGAGATAAGTGTGTCCTTGTTGTTATTTTTTATGAGTGCGTGAGGTAGGCAGGACGCCGCATCCTCCGGAGCCTCAGTGGTGAATGGACTCAGAAGGTTGTACACCTCTGGATGAATGAACAGCTTTTAGGATACCTCAAGGAAACTTTTTTTAATCAGTTTTCGGGATGTGTATCCAGTGACACTTGGGTTTTCACTGTGAATGCTCTCTGGATTATTTAACTTGAAGCTCTGCTTTGGATTTATCTGAATATTTAACTGTATGCATTGCTGAAGTGGCAGCTGAAAACATGGCACTTTATATAGAAGGTAAGTAGAGTCAAGGAGAGTGTATTTAGCTCCTAAACCTACATTTACAGGTATATAAATGACTTATAAACCTAACTGGACTCAAAGGACCACACCTGTGTTTTTTATGTTTCTAAATTATCTACATTCATAGAAAACGTTTCCAGAGGCAACCAGATTTTTCATACCTTCTAGGCATTTGTAAAATGCGGTCTTACTGCCTGCCAGACCAGCACTGGTTTTTATCTGTTTCAGCACCGTAGAGATTTGAAGTTTGCCTCACATGCTGACTGATCCATCACATGTGACTATGCTTTTGTTTCATTTCTGTCAAAGTTTAAAACACTGATTGATGCCTTCACTTGAAGGATGAAAGCTTTAATATCTGAGAGTTATTGAATGCACATGATAGTTTTCCTGACATTAACATTAGTCTTCCTAACTATGTAATTTATCCCTTGAATGCACTGGAGATAACTTATAAACTTTGAATTCGTATATGATGAAGCTTCCCATGTGATAAATTAAAATATTGGTGACTGATTTACATCAGTCTACAACTGATGGAATTATTGTACTAAACTTTTAAAAGCCAGTCAAGTGGAGCTCTGGTCAATTTTATCCACTATTTCACTACTTCTGGCTTCTAATTCATCATCTTGTTTTTTGCGTCCGTATATTTCTAATTAAATGCTCTGTCTGTGCTGTCTAATAAGCAGCCAGCCTGCCAGCATCTTACACAATACTGCCGTGAATACAATATTCACGGCAGTATTGTGTAAGATGCTGGCAGGCTACACAATACTGCTACTTTTTGAATACAATATTCAGCCCTGTGCACAATCCTAATGTGCCACTGACAGCTGATTTTGGGGCACAGTTGCCGATTATTTCTGAAATAATAACTCACTTACTGCTTTTAGGTTTGTAAAGGAGAACTGGACCTTGAAATATAAGCTGTCAAGTTGACTAACTACCTTAAGGCATAATAAGTCAATTTGCTCAATCAATCAAATGTAATTTTGATAATCAGTTAGTAATTTAAATGTTTGTGAGGTAAAAATTGCTTTCACAGGCTGGGAAACTGTGATGGGCATTTGTCATTATTTTGACATGTTATTGATTGGTTTAAGTAGTTGATCCTTTAAGCAATATATTAATGGATACAGCTTTTAAAATGCTATCTAGATTTAACACAGTTACCGCAGATAGTCGGCAGCTGATTTTCGAAGTTAACCAAAGTCTTACCCAGGGATTGTGAAATGTTGGTATAATGTAAGTCCTTTCTATTTCCTTCTGTCATGGTTGCCAATCTGCTGTGACATGGGATTTGTCTTGTCTTGTGACATTTTACCAGGAAGGTTAGTTCCCTGTGTTTTTTGTCCGTGTGCCAGAAAATACAGTGACTCCAGTTTGCCTGCTCTTCTACTATTTGAACTTCTTAGAAGAATGCTGAAAGACAAAATGAAAGGAGCTGTATGTGACATTTAGAGCACCTATATAGCATCAAACCACTGTTTGCTATGTAAAGATATAGTGGAGTATAGAGTCCTGTACAGAGAATGTAGTCACACTCCCTCTGTGTGTGTGTGTGTGTGTTGTAATCTGAGCTTCTCTGGTCTTTGTTGCTGGTCCAGACAGCCACACATGTGTGTTAGTGCATGTTAGTCCCTGTGTGTGTGTGTGTGTGTGTGTGTGTGTGTGTGTGTGTGTGTGTGTGTGTGTCCCACTGGACGGTCAATCGCCACTGCGCTTAAAGAAATGCTGTCATGACCCACAGACGGCGGCACTGCGTTTGGATCTTTTATACTCCATGCTGTTTCTCGTAACAGCGAATCGATATTCTCACAAACTGTAG